AATATGCAAGGCAAATAAATAGATTTATGAGCTAATCTCGCCTGATATAAGTAGTCCTTAGTGCCAGTACTTCAATTTGACATCACGGCAATTGAAGACTTCAAAAATCCTTCTCAGAGGATATAGCCTGGATGTATTCTTCAGCTATTCCTTCCTTGTCAGAGGAATCCTTGGTCTCATCCTTCTCCTGAATGGACGTGTCATGTGTTTCAATTGCTCTGATGCGATTATTCAGGCATTGACAGCTCTGGTGTCCAGGTTTGTGACATCTGAAACATAACTTCTTCTCCATGTGCTCCTTGTGATCTCTATCTGACAGACATCTGATCCGCTGATCGTTAGGTGGTACTTCCTTTGATGGTCTATCTCTAGTCTTGACTGCCCGATTGCGACGCACAAACTTGTTACAACTGAAAGGGCGGTTGGCAGATGGCATGAATAAAGGTTTATCACCAAAGATATCGATCATAGATTGGCAGATAGATTGGACACTGTTGAGGTATCCTACCGCTGTGACTGGTAGGGGCGGTTGAGCAGCAATCTTGATTAGAAGAGCAGGGGGAATGAGACGCTGGAGCTCTTGGATCTGCCCTAGCTCGTTTAAACCGCTAGCCTGTAAGAGTGGTCGAAGGGTTGTAACAAATTGAAGGCCATTTCCTCCGCATTTCACCCAAGTACATTTGCTGATTTCATTTAACACTGCTTGAGTATCATCCTCCACTCCAAAGGTCTGGATGAAGGACTTTCTGAAGTTAGCCCAACTAGGTAATCCTTTGAGGGGGGTGTCTTCTAAATCAGATATGGGTTCTTCTGTATCAGTGATGATGGTATGAATGAAGAATTGGGCAGGTCCTTTGATATATGAAAGAGTGCATTGAACCTTATCTTTATCGGTTTGAATCTTCTTGGAATTCCTGGCAAAGTACAGGTATAACTCATCCAGGAATTCCTTACTCTTTCCTTTGTCTCCTTCAAATTGATTGGGCTTGTTTACCACTCCACTATTGTTGTCAGACATGTCTCCTTCGTCTTCTTGGTCACTGGGTTCCAGGTTATCATCTTCTGGGTTGTTTGGGTGCCTGTGAGCAGGATCTTCTTCTGGGTTGGGATTGACTGGAGATCTGGGCAGTTCTGGTTTAGGTTCTGTTGGAATAGGAACTAGGGTTTGTTCCTCTACTGGGGCTGGTGGGTTGACTGGTTCAGGTGAGTTGAAGATTCCTGAAAAGAAACTGGCTCTAACTGTGGGACTGGTGTCTGTCGATTCACTTGGTAAGGGTTTGGTTGTTAACTGGAGTGGTGATGTGTGGGGTGTAGGGGCTACTACACTTCTACTGGATGACACTGCAGTAGGAGTAAGGTATGATGGTACAGGAGAAGGTTTCTCTGCTAGTGGGGGTACTGCTGAGTGTCGATCTTCTTTGCTTCCAATAGGAGCTAGGAGCGCTGTTGGTGTGGGAATAGTCTTATCTCTTTTCCTGTTTGGACACAATGAATCCGCACAATACTGCCAAGAAGGTCCATTATACCACTGATTGGTTCTTTTGCTTCTGTTGTAGGCGTGGGTTTTATTGAAGCAAAGGAGCTGCCTTGCTTGAACCTGGTTACTGCTGGTTGTCCTACTGCTGTAGCCACTGTGACTTGCTGCAACTAGGAACTAGTGATCCTAGAAGAGTTTTGTCCTAATGTTAAGGAACCTAACGACTGAGGATCAGGAGTTCAGTTGTTAACTGGTACTGGGACTTATACATGCTATTGTCCTACCTCCGATACTAGACTTGTAAACTGAGCCGCTATATCTGATAGCGGTTTGAGAGCATATACTGGTTGAAGCAGAGCTTCAGACTAAGGCTGAGACTTGAATAGACAGCTGAGTCTATTGCTAGAGAACTGTCCCTATGAAGGTACGTAAA